TGTCCAATTAATTGTTCCAACACCATTTGCCAAAAAGACTAATCTTTTTCCTTTAAATTGCTTTTACACCTGTCAAAAATCAATTGGCCATTTTTGTGCATTTCTGGACTCTATTCTGTTCCACTGATGTAAGTGACCAGCCTTTCACCAACACCACAGTCTTCATTACTGTGGCTTTACACAGCAAGTCTTAAAACCAGGTAGCATGATTCCTCTGTTTTTTAAACTAAGAACTGTGAAAGTAACATTATTCAATAAAGCTGGCAATATCTACAGAACAAATTTTAGGTTCAAATTAAAATCAGTATTTTGGAAATAAGCCAGAAAAAAAGCAAATATAAGGGGGAAAAGACAGAAAGAAAAAGAGAGAGAAATGAAGTAGGAGGAAAAGAAAAGGAAAAAGAAGTAGGAACATGACAGTGACACGCATAAAGAGGTAGAAACAAAGAAGACAGAAAAAAAGCAACAGGGAGAGACAGGAGAATAAAGGGAAATGGTTCCCTACACATTGCATGGCAACCACCACACCTGAGCCAGTGAAGTCCTCTCTGTACACTGGAACACCACCTCTGGTACAACCACCCACCAGAGACAGCATCAGTAACAAGAGAGGGCAAGGGCCAGGTGTAGGCTCCAGACTGAGGAACCCCATCCTGCTGAAGCTCTAGGACGGGCCCAACACTTCCCTCATTAAATAGCCCAAAACAAGCAATTATCAAAATACACTTCTATTTTTATATAGCCAATTACATTAGGTTTAAATAATCCTACATAATCCTACATATGTTCACATACATATATAGGCAGATTCAATGATCACTACAGAATTTCTTTAACTAGAACATGCCTGGTGTTTTGTCTAGATGCTTCAAAGAGAAAAATGTCTGGTTCTCTGAGGATGAAATACCCACCCTGTCCACTTTACAGGGTTGTCATGAAGATCCAATGAGATCATGGAAGGGAAGCTGCTTCACAAACTGAAATTTCGTGTAAAAATACAAGGTGGTGTAACTGATTCTCCTCATCAGAAGTCTAGGGCCACGAAGCTTGGTAGACACAAACGACAGCATCTGGCTCAACTACGAGGGCCTTTCCGTGAAATCTAAAACTGTCTTCACCAGCAGCACATCCAGAACTCTTTCTAGTCATCGGGATTAGTAGCAGGAAAGAAGTGGTTCCGTAAATAGCTCTGGGCACTTCTCTGCAATGTCTCCTCTGATTATTACGGACATTCAAACATTGATCTTGCTTTCCTTTCCTATGCAGTAAAATTCACTATCTCCTTCTATTTTCTATACTTAACTCTTTGATTCTTGAGGAAAAAATTCATGGTTAACAAATGTAAATGCAGTCACAGAACAAATACGACATACATTTTTCTAAACTAGAAATAAGATTTGACACATTCCAAAAAAAAAGCTTGACTCATCATTTCTGTTATAAAATTCTCTAATGTGTGTGTGTGTGTATATATATATAATTTCTATCTTTAAAAAATACTGTAAGAGCCTTTATATTTCATGTAGCTTTCTCTAATTATGCCTTTCTCTAACTCCACACCCAGGAAACCACCTATTCCCTGCTGTATTTATAAATACAGGCTGATTATGTTTACCTTACCTCCTTTAGTTGAGAACTTCTTGAAGAAGACAGCTGATCATTTAATATGTATTACATAGTAATACGTTACTGGAATTCTGTGTTGACTACACCAAATGTTTCTTGTTTATTATTCTGTGTTTACTCATTCACTCACTAATTTATTTAATAAGTTAAGTCAACTTCCTGCTGTGGAAATGGAGGCAGTATGGCATACCACAGAGCACAGGCTTCAGAGAGAGACCTCAATTCAAATCCCGACTTCCACTACTAGCTGAGTGACTTTGGCGAAGTTAGTAACTTTGGCCTTATTAATTTCCTAATCTTTAAAATTAGGATAATACCACTACATCAACAGGTGTTGAGTTAAATGACAATTATGTGACGAGTCTGGCACATCACAGGTGCTGTAGACTGTTAGTTCCTTTCTTCCCAGCAAGAGCTCTCAATACCTGTTGATACTACTTATAAAGGCTCCTCTTCCATAAACCTTGATATTTAAAAGCATGTTCTGAAATTTCTGCACCTTATTGACTCTCCATCTATTTTCACATCTAACCTGCCTCCAGCTCCTGATCTCCCTCGTCTGCTTTCATTGTAATCTGGCAGTAGTACTATTCAGCTACGAAAAGCAATCAGCCCCCATTCTTCCCTGGAGCACTGGTCTGCAGCTGTGAGGACCCTGCACACCGGTCCCAGAAGCTGCATGTGTGCAACAGCTGCTCCACACTCATCAGCTCACTCTCCATTCAAGGCACATGCCCCTTCACAAATGATTTACACGTCTACATAGATTTCATCCCAAATTAATCTGAGAAGTTGGCAAACATCAATGGTTAACTTACAGAACTTCCACTCAGGAAAACGGAAAGCTATGAGTTTTCAGGTGGTAAATAATGCAAGAAAATACTGTTCTCATTATGACTCACAAGTATTTCATAAGAGAAACTGGGCAAAAAATCATTATTTAATGGATGAATTTAGTCTGTCTGTGCACTCTGTTTTCAAGGGGGATATATGATTACGTGGCCAGCCCCGGTGGTCTAGTGCTTAAGATTCAGCACTCTCATTGCTGCCGCCTGGGTTCAGTTCCCCATCGGGGAACCACAACACCCGTCTGTTGGGTGTCATACTGTGGCAGCTGCGTGTTGCTGTGACGCTGAAAGCTATGCCACCAGTATTTCAAATACCACCAGGGTCACCCATAGTGGACAAGTGTCAGCGGAGCCTCCAGACTAGACAGACTACAAAGAAGGACCTGGCCTCCCACTTCCGAAAAAATTGGCCATAAAAACCCTATGAACAGCAGTGGAGCACTGTCTGATATAGCACCGGAAGGCTCTGCTGTACACAGGGTCACTAGGAGTCAGAATCGATTTGATGGCACTAATAACAAACTTGAGTAAGTCTTCATATTGAAGGGAAACACACTCTAACAGTCAGTGCTGGGTGGTCGGCTCCCAGAGCAGGCTCCTATTTTACTCTCTGGAGGACTCTTAAAGCCTCACGGCGGCCAGCCCCGTGGCTTATTGGTTAAGTGCGCACACTCTGCTACTGGCGGCCCGGGTTCGGATCCCAGGCGCACACCGACGCACCACTTCTCCAGCCATGCTGAGGCGGTGTCCCACATACAGCAACTAGAAGGATGTGCAACTATCACATACAACTGTCTACTGGGGCTTTGGGGAAAAAAAGGAGGAGGATTGGCAATAGATGTTAGCTCAGAGCCGGTCTTCCTCAGCAAAAAGAGGAGGATTAACATGGATGTTAGCTCAGGGCTGATGTTCCTCACAAAAAAAAAACCCTCATGGGACTCGATGGATAGTATCCAATTTAAGGTCACAGTAGAACAGATTGGAAGTTACTCACCCAGAGAATCTTTTAGAAGTGTTCTAGCTAAATCTTGACGGTACGGTACAAGCAATTAGAATTTCCCAAGAGAAATAATCACTTAAGAATCCCCAATGAGAAGGCATATGGAACCAGGGCTAGAGTTTCCACTGCCTGATGCTAACAAGCACTATGGGCCAGAATAAGCTAAAATCACCCAAGATCCTCATTAAAAGTTGGATCAGCAAGCCGGAAATAACTGCCAAATAGAGAGACAACTAATTGCCCAGATGACAATCTTGTTTTCTAGAAGCTGGAGACTGCTGATGAAACTCTGAAAAATTAGATTCTAAATGTACAGCACTGTCTGTTCTTAGCCTTGCTGACCACTCTCACGCTGCTCTGTAGCCTCTCACAGCAGTTAGTCCATGAAGAAACCAAAGAAATGGTTCAGGTAGGAAACAGCCAGGTTTTCTCTGCTCACAGCCATGGGTCCCAGTGGCACCAAAACACCCTCATTAAATGTGTTATAAGAGTATTCCTGGGGCCAGCCCTGTGGCCTAGTGGTTAAATTCAGTATGCTCCGCTTCAGTGGCCCAGGTTCAGTTCCCGACCTAGGTTTGGTTCCCAGGCACAGACCTACACCACTCATTGGTGGCCATGCTGTGGCAGCCTCCCACATAACAAAATAGAGGAAGATTGGCACAGATGTTAGCTCAGGGCGAATCTTCCTCAGCAATAAATAAAAGAGCATTTCTTATTTTTCTGTTGGAGTAAGAGAAAGCAAATATTAAAGGTCCATGTTCTCCATCTCTTCTTTGAATCTCTCTCAGGTTCTTAGCGCTTTGGTACGCCTCTCTGTAGATAACTCAACAGTTTCTCTTTTCTGGACTTGTGTGACTTCATTCCTCTTTAGTCTTCTTCCATTCCCTGAATCTTAGGTAGGTCCCCTCCACCCCCATAAATAAAAAAACCTAGTGTGCAATGAGAAGGAAAGTGCAAGCAGAGAGACATCCATTTTCCCTTGGATTATCTGGTGGTAAGTGTCCAATCATAAAATAGATGGAAACATGAACAAAAATGTTTGGGGAAAGCAGACATGCATTGCCAGGATTAATCTGAGACCTCAGGGAATTGGAGAACAATTCTTTGTATAGGCCCTGAGCTCTGCTTAAAGATCAGACCCACTGCGCCCCAACCCCCTGAACACACACCTTCTCATGGCTCAGAAAGGCCCAACTCAGAGCTACTGTTTCACCCTTTCAGATTCTCCAGGAGTATTAAGCTATTGTAGCCTTCCTCCCTGGTATGCAAAAGGCATGAAAAGATTTCCTGACTGAAAAGTCACTGCAACAAGAGACTGCTGTGGGGTGCTCGATGGAGCCAGGAAACATTACAATTGGTCTTACTGTAAGGACACATTCAGTTCTCCACTCAACAAATCACAAGTAAGAGCATCACTCCAAGGGACATGGTAAATTCTTTCACCCGAGGAAGCTTCAACAGACTCTGACCAGATCCATCATCCTCCCCATCATCCTTCCTCCCCTGCAGGGTTTACTTGTCATTACCTATACAAGTGACGGTTGTCATCAAAATCCTCCTGACCCCATTTTCCCTTGATGTCTTCAATAACATGATTCTTCAGGAATTTTTTTAGCAGCTGGACCGTTTGTTTGCGAGTCACTTCAGGGCCAAAGTTCTGACTGCACCTCAGCAGCTCATGTAGCCAGTCCACAGCTTCGGCCGCCGTGAAGCAACGTTCATAACTTTTGAAACGACAGCGATGTTTCCGCAATGGCATCCTAGCGCGAAAAAGCTCAACTGTTTCATTCCACTAGGGGAAAAAAGAAAGAAAGGCATTTAGTAATCAAAGAATTTTTTTTAAAGGTTATTACATCCCAGATATTTAACACAATGAATGCAATTTTTCCATTTATAAGACTGCCTTAATAACAGATGGAGCCTTAAAAGTTTTTAATTTATAACCTTCACACTCTAAAGAAAAAGTAACTTTAAAAAATGCATTTATTCATTCAATAAATATTTACTGGAGATATTACCATCAAGTTGTGCTATTGTGTGAACTTAAAGGATTTTTACATTAATGAGAAACATATCAAAAATAGTGGTAAAACTGAGCCTAACATGCATAATTCACTTCTTGGAGCTCTATGTTTAATATGACTTCACCTCATTCAGCAAATATTTACTGTTTATTACATGAAAGGTATTGTATGGGGAGAGGAAAAGAGAGATGCACAAGATATAGTGCCTGATGTCAAAGCATCCTTAAAAACTCTGCAGAATATTTTCCTATTTAAAAAAAAAAAAAACCTAGACACCCAGGCCTTCATCAGCCATCCCTAAAATAAACGAAATGTTCACATATGGTGTTCTTCCTACATAATTACTCTAACATCTTTTTAGGACCCTAGGCTTCCCATCAGTCCTCCTAAAAGTCCTGAAATCTCATAGTCTTACTCTCATAACCATTCTCTCTTCTCTTTCAAGTATATCACTTTACAAACCCTGAGTCTTTTATTATTCACCTCCCTTCTTATAGAAATCAGATTTTCTGATTTCACCTTTTTCTTTCAACCAGAGTTCTAATCTGAGCATATTCTTTTTATTTCGCCCAGCATTAGGTCTTTGTTTTCCCTTCTGATCAGAACTTTTCTTCCAGGCTTTTCTTCATACTTTCTACTGCCCAACCACCTCTGTAACGATTGTCCCATTTCTCTTCTATGTTTGATGGCTAACTTTCTCAGTCACAGTAATAATTTCTGAGTATACAACACCAGGTGCTTAAAGGGCGGAAGTAGGATCAGTTGCAAGCATGCGCCCTGGACATGTAGTACAGTGCACCACACGCAGTTGGTATTCAATAATAAATGATTAATTGGTCTTTCACTTTTCTACTTTTTTTTAATCACCTTCTAACTTCAGACAATTTAATTCCACTCTGATTCTCAATTTTTTAATCACCTTCTAACTTCAGACAATTTAATTCCACTCTGATTCTCAATCATGTCTTCCTCCTGGCCAAATTCTAACATCTTTTTGCCTTATGCATATTAATCTTTTTCTTCATTTGACACTGTTATAAGCCACGCTTCAAGTTAAGTTGGTCCAGATTTTAAAGGTTTTTTTAACTTCTTAAAAACACACACAGAGGCCGGCCCCGTGGCTTGGAGGTTGGGTGCGCGCTCCACTACTGGCGGCCCAGGTTCGGATCCCAGGCATGCACCGACGCACCACTTGTCCGGCCATGCTGAGGCCGCGTCCCACATACAGCAACTGGAAGGATGTGCAACTATGACATACAACTATCTAATGGGGCTTTGGGGGGGGTGGAAGGGAGGAGGATTGGCAATAAATGTTAGCTCAGAGCCGGTCTTCCTCAGCAAAAAGAGGAGGATTAGCATGGATGTTAGCTCAGGGCTGATCTTCCTCACAAAAAAAAAATAATAAAATAAAAAAAAATAAAAATACACACAGAAACAAGGCAAGCCACGCAGTAAGATAACATATAACCAGAAATTCAAAAACAAAACAAAACAAAAAATTCAAATCAAGAAAAAAAAGACAGACACTCCAATAGAAAAATTGAAAAAGTCGTACACAGGCACTTCACATAAAAGGATCTCCAAATTTACCATAACATAGGCAAAGATGTTTAACCTGATTAATTATCAGTGAAATGCAGGGGCCAGCCAGGTGGCGTAGTGTTTAAGTTCGTATTCTGCTTCAGCGGCCCGCAGTTTGCAGGTTCGAATCCTGGGCACTGACATACACACTGCTCATCAAGCCACGCTGTGGTGGCATCCCACATACAAAATAGAGGAAGATGGGCAGAGATGTTAGCTGAGGGCTAATCTTTCTCAGCAAAAAGAAAAAATTTTTCATTCTAATTATCAGTGAAATGCAAAAGAAATCCATAACGCGATACCACTACACACCTACAGAACAGCTAAAATGAAAAAGATAGGCAATACTAAGTGCTGGTGAGAATGTGGAGCAACTGGAAATCTCATACATTACTGGAGGGAATATAAATCGGTAAAACCACTTTGAAAAACAGGTTGGCAGTATCTACAAAAGCTAAATATATGCACACCTTATAACCCAGAAATTCCATTCCTAAGTATATATCCAACAGAAATGCATATATATGTTCACCAAAAAACACACTGTTCACAGCAGCATTGTTCTTAATAGGCAAAAACAATCCAAATGTCCATCAATATAAGAACAGATAAATTGTGTTTTATTCATGCAATGGAATGCTGTACAGCAATGAAAATGAATGAACTATTACTACATGCAATAACGAAGATGATTAACAGATAAAACACAATACTGACATAAGAAAGCCAGATATGAAAAGTAAATATTATATGATTCCATTTACATAAAGTTAAAAAGCAGGCAAAATTAATCCATGATATTAGAAATCATAACAGTGGTTAATTTTTATGGAGGTAGAGACTGAGTGGGGCAGGGGGCCCTTTGGAGTGCTGGTTATGTTATATTTCTTGATCTGGGTGTTGGTTACATGGGGTGCCTCACTTTGTGAAAATTCATTGAGCTGTATATTTATAATTTGTGTACCTTTCTGTCATGTTATATTTAATAAAAAGCTAAAAACAAAACACAGACACATACATATACACACACACATGCTTATATATTAAAATCCTCCTTAAGAGCAATCACTATTTTAGATTACCAATCTGAAAGTTGATAAATATGAATTGGCTGGTTGTGGTGGTAAATTGAATGTGGAAGAGAGAGGGGAGGGAAGTGAGTGGATGAAAGAAGGAATGTATGTAAACAGAGGAAAAGCAGAGCAAATGGCTAGAACTAAATAATGAATAATAGAAACAGAGCCCATGAAGAGTTCATGAATGGTGACTTGACTTCACTTCTGCCCACCGCCCTCACCAGGTTATTGTGAGGTCAAATGCAATCCTGGCTACGTAAGGCCTTTGTAAAAGATAAGGCATTCCTTAAAGATAAGGATAACATATAAAATTTCCAAGATAATCTCTTAACACGAATTATGGGGTTCAATCTATTCTAGAGCTGGAAAGAACTTTGGGGCAAAATGAAGTTTGAAGGACATACAAATTGGCACACGTCACTCAGGTACTTAGTCTCAGAATAACATCTGAAATCCTGTTCTATGGTCTCCTCCTCAAGAGATCATTTCATTATGCCAAGTACCTATGAATATTAACATAGGTTTAAACAATTTCCAGGTATTTTTAATAATTTGGTTTTTTGGGGGGATTTTTTGTGAGGAAGATTGGCCCTGAGCTAACATCCGACGCCAATCCCCGTTTTTACTGAGGAAGACTGGCCCTGGGCTAACATCATGCCCATCTTCCTCTACTTTATACGTGATGCCGCCACAGCATGGCTTGACAACCCATGCATCGGTCCACACCCAGGATCCAAACCTGCGAACCCCAAGCCGCCGACACGGAGCGCGCGCATTTAACTGCTATGCCACCAGGCCAGCCCCTAATAATTTGTTTTTAAATCTCTACTAACACCCAGCTTTCATTTTAGTCCTGATCAAGTATGTTGGGAGGTGGGAAAAAAGAAAGGTTAATAAAAAAGACTTTCACTTATTTTATATTGATTGAATTATCATAATCACCTGAACTTAGTGCATAGTACTTTATGAATTACATAAACAAAATAAAGACAAGGCTCTCTGGGACACAATATTTTGAAATATAAATAAATATGTCTATTAATTGACTCGGCTGCTTAGCAGTTCCTCTACTCATTATTTTAATTACAGAAGTAATAATGCACATTGTAACAAATTAAGTGTATAAGTATATACAAGAGTCTGCCCTGTGTCTCTCCAATCCCACATAACTATCAAACATATACACACATATACAGAACTTTTCCCTTTGTATGTAAATGTGTTATTTATTTTTGTTTGCTTCCTTTTTTAAGAAACGAGATCAATCATATTGTACAACTTGCTGTTGCATTTATCATACCATGGATATCTTTCTGTGCCAATATCCATAGATCTAGCCCATTCTTATGAATGAACGAGTTCCATAACTGACTTGGCCATTTTCTTTTCTTTTTTTTTTCTTTTGAGGAAGATTAGTCCTGAGCTAACATCCGTTGCCAATCCTCCTCTTTTTGCTGAGGAAGATTGGCTCTGGGCTAACATCCGTGACCATCTCCCTCTCTTTACATGTGGGACACCTGCCACAGCATGGCTTGATAAGCAGTGCACAGGTCCGTGGCCAGGATCTGAACCTGTGGACCCCGGGCCACGGAAGCAGAGCACACAAACTTAACCACTACACCACCGGGCCAGCCCCTTTGCCATTTTCTAACTGAGGAGCATGCAGCCATTTCCAGTTTGTGGTTTTATAAGTATATCCTTGAATAACCTAAAGTACCAATGCTTTTATTTCTTTATTTTTGATAGAACAGATTTCTAAAGAGTATCAGCATATTTAAACCAGTTGTAGCAATTCACACTCCTACCAACAATGTGCGAGCCTACTGCCTTATCTTTGGCCATAACCAGATGTTATTATTCTTCTCACTTCTGCCAGTCTATGTGCAAGAAATGATATCTCTATGTTTTATTTGCATTTTCCTATCTTCATCTTTTGTCATTTGTATTTCTTAGTCCGAGACTTGCCATTTTTCTATTGGGTTATCTCTTTCTTTCTTTTTTAATGAATTTTAAGAACTGTTTAAATCTAGAATTTAAATCTAAGTGCACAGAAGTCAGGAAAGTTAGTCTATTTTGCTCAGTTCAGTATCCTCACACCCAAAGACAATGTC